CGGCTTCCTGCCTCCTCTTTTGGGTTTTCTGATTTAAAGTGGTCCCTTCACTCTGTTCAACCTCTTATAGCTTGTCCTTACCCTAGAAATCTACTATAGTTGCTACCTTTCTTTACTATCCTTTGTATCCCGTACGGCTCATACTCTAGGAAGTATCACGAACGTACGCTAGAACGTGCATCTTAGCTTTTACGAGGACAAAAATATGGGAAATAGAAGAGGGAGAAACTTAAATACTTTAATCTTTCAACACGAATTTGCTCACCTATCGAAAGTGTCAAGACCTCTATTTTGGCCACATTCTCCTTTTGCTGTATATGATTGGTTTAGCTCTGATCTTGTTGTTGATGAGGACTTGATGAACACACCTTGCCCAGATTCTTTGCAATAGTATTCATGAGAATTTCCGGGATCGGATCGTAAATTTAGTCGAAAGACATTTTTAATAATAGTGAGTCTCAATTTGTGTTTATGAAACATGTTGGTTTTATTCACTTCAGAATTCATTTTTTAACTGTATCCTATTCATATTCTTTTTCTTAAAATAGGAACGCGATATCCTTACGATTTTTGTTGATCCCACCGAAGATCCTGTTGCTGCTGCCGAGGGTGCATATTTGGGCGCCTTTATTTTTGATGACTTGAAAAAGCCTGAATATCATATGGTTAAGCCTAAACTTATTTGCTACACGGACCATCTTGAAGCTGACATTAAAAAAAGGTAAGCACGACATTTTATAAACTTAAGGGACTATTTGCTAACATTTAATTAAAGGATTAACTCTCTAGACGTTATTTATATCCATTGATATATTGCCGGATAAGTTTATGTTCTTTTCAATGGATTATTAGATAGTCGATTCTCGGTTAAATTTCCATTATTGTAAGTAATTATGTTAGATGGCTGAAGTTGTAGTTGGTGGATTTATGGCTCACTTAGTATTCAATCAATCAGCAAATCATAAGTGCCTTGTGTTAGAGTACCTTTCATTTCATTTGAAGAGGCGAATGGAAAGGGTTCATGAGTTTGCCTTACAGGAAGCTGAAGGAGGATTGCCTTGGAGCCGCGATTGTACATTTGTGCAAATAGGTCGGTGAACTGCTCTGCAACTCCGATGAATCTTTGCTGAGCTTTCGTTCGTTGTGTTACAGGCATCGTCAGAGCAGGATACCATGCTTAATGATAATTCACCAAAACACGAAGACAAGAAAGGTAGTCGGCTGAAAACTTACCTAGTCTTTATAGCCTAACTCGGGATACTTAATGAGGTCCCATGATTTTGTTGCAGTCCTATGCTTCCCAGAAATGTTTGCTGAAAAGTGGCTGCAGATGAAGTGTAAAAGGGATACATTTGTAACCAAACAGCTGCGTCCTCCGCTAAATAACTTATATTTTTGATCGTGCAATGTTGACGTATGCGATTGCGTTCCATTGCACGTATGCTGTTTGCATGCAATGATTTCGGATAGCATGGAATGAGATTCAAAATCAGATTCGAGGGTAATTAAGCCTCCTCTTTTGCCCGCCAATACTTCTTATGTATTTATTAAGTGATCGTTCTAAACCTCACTTTTATTCATTTATATATAAGTTATTCCTGCTTAAGTCACTTTGTAAAGTTAATGTAAGCTTTTGATAGATGCCAGGAGAGTGACTAGTCTTAGTCTGAGAGATCAAAGTTTGTAGATCCAATAGTAGGCTCGGTAAATCTAGCGAACTTTGAGTGGCAGATAAATCAAGACATCAATTTAGAGTGGAAGAATTCTATTATCAGTCTTTCAGTAGGTGCGATCTAGGTTGACTACGGCTTTTATTCAAGGCAATCTTGAAATTTACCAATTGTGAATATAAGTAACCTAGTCAACTTTAGTGCCAAATGCCTCTTTGTCTCTTATAATCCCACTATTAATGCGATATGAGAGAGACCTGACTTGCCTTGAATCGCAGGCAACAATGTTTACTAGAAGTGGGTTGACCTCGTTGTCGCAACTTGGTCTTGTGTTCAGGGAGACTATGTAGAACGCACC